CCCCTTATAGACCGGCTTCGTGAATGAGGCCTACTAATGGTAAGACGACTTGCTCTTATACATATAATATATTAAACTTTTAATATTATAATAGTATAAGGTGTATTTTAGACATTTAAAATACTTGGTGGTTTAATCTATTAATTAAACTAGACTTTAATTTAATTAAACTCAAACCATATATTTATGGATTAATAATACTCTTTTAATTAAACGCTTTAATTAACTATTAATAAAGTCCATAAGAGTTAATTTGAACTATTCAACAAAACATCATAATTCCAATTATTAAACTCAAAATTAAAACCATTTAATTAATTGTTTAAGTTATGAACCCAAGAGTTTTAGAATTCAATTCTTTTTTTCATAAAAAACTTTTCTCAAATTCCAAAACTTGAGGGCAAGTTTTGTAATTCTTGAAAACCTTTGGATTCCATAACTTATGGAATTAATGGTGTTTTATGATGAAACTTTCCATGTTCCATAACTTAAGAACAAGTTATGGAATTCTTTAAAACATTAACACCAAATTTTGTAACTCCATAAAAATTTGAATCAAATTTTTTTTTTAAAAAAAACTTTCATGTCCATAACTTATGGAAGTTTCAAAAACCCTTAAGATCACAACTTTAAAAAAAAACTTTTGAGCTCCAAAATTTTATGACAAAATATGTAACTCCTTAAAACATTTAGATCAAACTTTTAAAACTAATAAAATAATCATATCATTTTATCTTTTACTAAATTTGACCTAATTCAACTCATATAACAAATGATTCAAATTTTACAAATAATTCGTTTTTCACAAAACAAGTAATTATCTTAAAATTTGACAAACGTCATGTTTTTTTTTTCCTTTTTTTCCAACTTGAAAATAAAACATTTGCATCAATATAACAGAAAACAACCCATGGCTCTGATACCACTGTTGGGTTTTGAGCATTCTAACACTCTTATGGTGTACATGCAACCCTATAAACCTTGGATCTATGTTTTCTCTATTATACATGCAAATATTAACTATTCCAAGGTTTCATCCTAACTAGCATATTATGAAGCACCTATACTACAAAGTTCTAGTTAGATGACATACCTTTTGATGTAGCTTGATGTCTTCAAGCTTTAAGAGCTTAGCCCCAATAGTGTGGAAGCCTCAAATGGAATCACAAATCACCAAAACACCTTGGAAGAACTTGAGAGAATATGTATGCACACTAAAATCGGCCCACTCTCATTTTCACACACTTGTGCCAATTTTGTGAGCCAAGGACCCCTTTATATATTATGGAGGATTAGGGTTACATCCATGTAAACCCTAATACCCATGACCTTTCATTTACATAGGATCCATGGGTTAAAAGCTCCATGGACCATCCATGAAAGCTTAGCCCAACCTAAATGAACTTGACCCATTCCATATATATAAGAGTCCATATTTAATTAGTTCTTTTTGATCACTTAATTAATTCTAAATTAATTCTTGATCAATACTAATTAAATAATATGATTCCATATTAATATATTAGAACTTATAATATATTAATATAAATCATAAATATACTATTCTCAAAAGACTATCCATATAAATTGTGTCGATGAAGTGCAACCCAAATGGACCATGTCGGGTCGGGTCAAGTACATACCAAATATAGTTATGGACTTAGACATTAATCCAACACCTACAACCTATTTTCAGTGAAAAATGAAATTTATTGTCAAACTTGACTTCCCAATGACTGCACAAGCTTTCATTTTTTGATGTTTGGACAATGTTTTTGATGTTCCTATGATCAATAATCCAACGAATAAGAAGTTATTAAACTTCTATGAAAAATATTCAAGACCACAATATGAAATTTGGAGCTTAAAAAGAATAGTTGGTCTGAAGATTGGAAAACTGTTTGAAGCTGAAGGTTTTGCAAATATAGCTTCCAAAGGATTCAGAGGAGCTAATCAATAATTTTTTTGATTTCACACTTTTTGATCTTCAACAGATGAATCCATAAGACTGTATTGTATTGCTTAATATTGTTTCTATAGATCCTATGAAGTATGAGCCTATTTTTCATATTTTGAGAAGGATGATTCGGGGACAAATTCAAGAGATTTCTAAGATGGATTTGTAGATTGGAAAAGTGTTGAACAGAAAACCCATTATGAAACCAATTGAACAACCTGATGGATTGGAAAGTCTTAGAGTTAGTTTTATTCAGAAAGAGCCTTGGGGTGTGGTGTACAAAACTTATGAGAATAGAGAAATGAAGAATGTCATGATGTATCTGCAAGACAAACATCTTTATCCGTCAGCTGCTCTCACCAGTGTTCTATCTAGAGCTAAAGCGTGCAAATTAAACAATACCAGCGACGTGAAATCTGTTTCGAACATGATCATATGGTGGGTGATGGTTCGTATGATTTTTTTGTAGACAATCCCGAAGGTGTTCGATGAGAAGAAGTGAAGACAACAGTTTGCAACTTGACACAAAGGGGGAGATTGTTGAGTTTCGGAATTTATGTGTTGTGTCAAGTTTGTAAGCGACTGAGCAGTTTGTAATGTCATAGAGTCTTCATTTTCGTATGCGAGATTGTATGTATTGTATTTCACATATTTAGTTATCCTTAGGTTCGCAGTTCTGAACTGTTGACTTAGGTGTTATCCTTTCTGCCTCTCCTCTCAGGTACTATATATAGGAGAGTTAGTTAGTAGAGAGAGTACCTTTTGCGTAAAGTTCCCTACACTTTGTACTGAATTGTTTGCTTACTCTCTAATGAAATCGTGATCTTATTTACCTTTCTGTATTTCTTAATCATTCATATCGTCATATCATTATCATATTAGAATATATTCGTTCCTAAAATTCTAATAAATATTATAACATGTAACTTTATAGTTTCCACCATAATGTAACATACATTGAATAATCGACATCATTTCTCACATTTTTCCCCATTATAGCCATCATAAGGCCTTGGTTGCTCTATTATCACAACCACTTACCATTCATTATGTTAACTTACATCAACATCCTAAACTGAAGTTTTAGGATGTTACATTATCTACCCTAATACTAGGCCTTCTAAACATATAAATTAATCTATAGTTCTAAAATATTTTACAAATAAAAGGTCACTATGACATAATTTGAAAGAAAATATTCTTACATTTCCTAGTAGGATTAGGAAACTATTTAGCACAATCATCTATTGAATTTGTAAAATGATATGGACCACTAAACTATTTTCTTGGCATTAATGATCTGTCACGGTCTAGGATTATTTCTATCACAAAGAAAACATGCAAAAAAACTATAAGAACTTGTCATCATGTCTATATGTAAGCCGGTGTCGACACCTAATGATATTAAAGGTAAGTTAAGCACAATTATGTAAACCTTGTTCGAAGACCCGACCTGATATCACAACCTCTAAAGAGCTCTACAATACCTTCCTTCACACGGCCACACATTACTTATGTCGTCCAACAAATCTGCTTACATATGCATGCTCCTCACAGTGACCACATGAAGTCACTTAAACGGATTCTTAGATATATACGCAACCGTTAGATTTTGGTACATATCTTGATAAAATTTCCAAGCACACATCCATTTGTATAGACATATGTTGATTAAGTAGGGTGCCTTGACCAATGTCACTCTAATTTATTGTGTTTATCTTTCTAGGTGACAACTTGATCTCATTGTCTTACAAAAATTAACTACTATCTCTCGCTCGAGCGTAGAGGCTGACTATCGAAGGTGTAAAATGTCGTTTTTTGAAACATATTGGATCTGAAATTACTATTAAAGTTCCATATCTCAATTCCAATAGTAATACTTATTTATCACGACAACATTATCATCATATATTTATATGAAGGCCTTGTTCATCATCAACTTAAAAAACATACTAAACTCAACTTCATGTGGTTCTGGGAAAAATAGTTAGGGTCAAGTTTGTGTGTTATATGTTCCATCTCGCTACCTTGTGTTTTATTTAATCACTTTCATGGTAGAAGGAGCATCCAACCGGTATGTATAGTTAAACATTCATTATTTTAGTATATTAGTTTCCATCTAATTACAATTATAGCAGTCCTACAATTAAAATAGCTCGAACTAACTAAGTTCTTTCATATAACAATATACCTTATATTTGAATGGAAAATAGTTGGACAAAGTCTTTGGCTGCAAGTAAATATAGTAAAGTTGGTATATATATATATATATATATATATATATATATATATATATATAGAGAGAGAGAGAGTTAGGTTCAAGTATTCTAACTAATTATTGTGCGGATATCGTATGCTATGAGAATTACTAAGAGAATAAGTTGTTTAGAAATGCGAATATGTTCAACCTTACAAAAATATCGTCATTTTCATGCATTCTCGCTAATTATTATCTATTTTTGTTCTCACACATCGTTTTTCACTCATTTTCATTTTGACAGAATACGACCCAATAAACATTCTGACAAACATTCTGACAAACATTCTGACAGAGTTGAGAATAATAATAATAAGTGTATAATAACCTTATAGACGATTTAATTAGTGAGAATGTGTGTTAATGACAATAGTTATGTAAGATTGAACGTATTTATAGTATTAAACAACATATTTTCTTTATCATTCTCATAGCATACGATATCCGCACAATAATTAGTTAGAATAGAATAACCTAAGCTATATATATATATATATATATATATATATATATATAAAGAGGAAAACCTTAGGAACAATAAACTATTATGGTTTACAAATTCGTCACAATTTATTCGAGTCTGTCAATATTAGTCCCTCCAAATTAAGGGTTAGTCGGATTTAGTCAGCTTCCCAATTCATTTTTCACGCTTGTGATCAACGTGTCTTCCACCGCCTTTGTTCACCAATATGATTTTTCTGATTGGCTTCCTGGACACGTGTTAATGTCATGTGCCTTTTGCGGTGGTTATTCATCCTTCATGTATATCTATTGGGTCTCAAATCCATGAAAGCAACCTCATTGATACTTCCTCAACATCCCGGTGAATTCCACAAACTTAGATGACATCGACACTTCGATTTCCAATCAAACTAAAAAACCCTTAGCCGACTTCCAGTTTCGTGATTTTTCGTAAACTAAGGATCGTCTTCTTCTACTACAACACTAATTGATATATATCTCCTATCGGTTGATTCCCACTTCTCTACGACGTTTTTTAGGTGGTCCTCCTATGTGCTATTTTTATCTTCTTCTTCTCTAGGTGAATAGTTTTTTTCTATCTTTTTTATCATTTGATTTCGCTTTTGATGTTTCAGTTCCATGACGTTTGCTGAATACCCTGGATGGAGAAAATCGATAAACCTTCGGATTCGCCATCGAGAATTAGTAAATCGTTTTTTCTATCCATTTTTATCGTTTGATTTTGTTTTTCATGTTTCAGTTCAAGGAATTTTTAGCGGTGTCTTTTTTGGTCCGCTTAAATTAATCGATGCTAATTATTCCTGTCGTAAACATAACTCCGGTGATGATTGTAAGCTCACCAATTTCCTTACCTTCACTTGCGATTGTTGCAACAAGGTATAATTTAACTCCTATTTTTATCATTGTTTCTTGTCTTTTTTGTGATCTTGATATTGCAAAATCCGTCGAGAACTATTGTATTTTGTGAATTCCTATAGTACTCTGGTTATTGGATGCCATGCTCGAATTTCGTAATCTCTGGGTTATGAAAGAATCTTAGAAAACTGTTTCATGAAGATGAGTGATTTTATGGTAGCTTAAACATTTCTGACTAATTTGAGATTCCAAAAAGGACAAGAAATAATTACTTATTAAATACACTATTCATTTACTAATCAATATCTTCAATATTTTATATTCTTTTCCTTAGAATATTTTGATTCACACATATGAATTATAAGAACATTTAATGTCACTGTGAAATAGATACAATGCTTAAAAGAGAGAACTCATTGGAAATATCATTAAGCAACCTTGTAACACCAAATCAACCTTGTAAACTCCCTTTAAGATAGCAACAACCCAATCTTGGAAAATAAACTCCAAATATTTTAAATCTAAATTTCATTAATTTTGGTAAGAGAAAAGACTATATGGTAGTTAAAGTTTAGTAAAGATTCAAGTAACATATTTCCTTGGTAACATAGTATTACATGATTTAGAAGTGGCAAATCTCGATGCTTTATTCTTCATTTTTCTTCCAATAGATAATGACGATAATACTCTTACACTCCACCTCATGGACGTGGGCTTAAATTTTTCATGGCCCATTGGAAGAATCAAAGAGGTATTACCTGATTCAATCAATACAATCTCATCCTCACGCACAAGATGTTCCCCAGAGACAATCAAACTCATTGCAACACTAGTGGAAGAACATAAAATTCTAGAAGACAAAAATTAGAATTGCTTATGGAGTTATTTCTTTTCTCTGGTTATACACCTCTATTCATGGGTATGTTTTCCTTTATAATCTTTAACAACACGTATTCCTTTAAACTTATTATTTATGTGGTTCTTCGTTTTGACCAAATAGACTTAATGGATGTTTCATTTTGTTTTGTATGATTGTATGTGTTTCTATGTAAACCATCATTTGTTATTCAAAATCAGTTTTGGAAGAATGGTACAATAGTCATTTACTCATATTCGGATAGTTCGATCAACACTTAGTGGGAATGAAAAGAAAGAAACAAAAGCTTTTGCTAATATGTTTATTCTTGCTTTAGGAATAAAACAGTAATAGTGAGTGTGTCTTCTGAGCTTCCTTTGGGCTTAGGGTTAGGATCCTCTGCAACATTTTGTGTCTCACTGTGTGGAGCCTTTCTTGGTTTATCAGATTCGGTGAAAGTTGACTTTGGTCAAGATGGTTGAGTTGCTTTTGGAGAAAAAGAACAACAATTAGTCAACAAATGGGCATTTGAAGGTGAAAATATTATTCACGGGAAGCCTTCTGGCATAGACAATACGAAAATGGCATGCTACTTTTATTCTCATGACAAAAATACCATGCTCCTTTCATTTTTATAACTAGAATAACATGCTACTTTGATTTCTAAAACAAAAAATAATATGCTACCTTCATTGATATGTCAAAAAAGGCATGTTTTTTTTTTTATTTATATGACACATATAGCATGCTATTTGTATTTTTTAGAAAAAAAAAGCTTTCATTTTTATGACAAATATAACATGCTAGTTTCATTTTTATGAACAAAATAGCATTCAACTAGATTTTTTTGGCAAAAAAAGCATGCTACTTTCATATTTATGACAAAAAATAGCATGCTAGTTTCATTGTTACAACAAAAAAAGCATGCAACTTCATTTTTATCACAAAAGAGCATGCTACTTTCATTTTTGTTGCATTTAATCTTATTATCATGTTTGTCGCTCCACCGGGTAGTGTTTTGTTTTCATTCAAACGTAAAAATAAAATTTTAAGATGTGTCTGGAAGCATAAAAATATGTATGTGTATGTGTGTGTCAGATTGTGCGAAAGAGAAACTCAAGAAACTTGGTGTTGATGTTCGTGTTTACCGAGAGCCATCTTGATGTGAAAAATGTCAAGGGCTATTTGGTAATTTTCATTTGAAAAATCTACAAACTGTGTTTGTTATTTTGTATTTGTGTCATTGTTTTAGCTTTCAAGGTATGATTTACTCTAATTTTTTCACTTATTAATTTTGTAGGATAACTTGCTTGAACCTGCACTGGGATTTAGTTGTGTTGGTGGTAACGCTGCTTCTTTGGTTCTTAAATTCTTAAGGAGAGATTAGATTTTTTTTTTTAATTTCATATCATTTTAAGTTTTATTTCAAATAAAATATGAATAATGGTTTCAGGCAGGGCGGAACAATGGTGACCAATAGCGGAATGCCTAAGAAGCCTATAATTGTATCAACTTCTTCATTTATATTTAGAGTAAGTATTCAATTTAATCATTCTTTCACATTTGACCCATTTGATTTTTTAAAATTTCCGATTATTGGTCTATAATGGGTTTTGTTTTTCTTTGTTTTGTTTAAATGCTTAGTAGAAATCTGTAATGCAATTTAACATTTTCATGATTAATTTTATTTAAGAATCATCAAGTTTATCTTTTTATATTATTATGAAAATTTGATTAAAAACATTGTGTTCATCACAAGAACTTTTTTTTAAAAACTAATGTGTATCATAATAATTTGTATATATGGAGGAGCTTTTGTTGAAAGGATTCTGCTTGCAGAAATGGATTAGCTTAGATAAAAAAGAAGAGTAGATAAGAGAGAAGAGTGCAGAGAAATGATAGATTACCTTTTGGGTTTGATTCGTGAAGAAAAATTCAAATACGAGTAAATCCTCCATTTATTCCCATTAAGGGAAAAATAAATGAGGGTGAATGTGTAAAAAGTTGGTACTTAATGGGGAGGTCTATATAAGTTGATTATTATTATGTGGTTTTTTATGTGTTAACTCAAAGAGGCATCCATACCATATATAGCTTACCAGATTAAGTCATGTTTTTTTTCAGCATGGAGTTTGCTCCCTTCAATGAATTGCACACAACATTATACAATACACTTGGGAAGCTTCAGAGCCAGCCTAAGCAAATCATTAAGTTCTAATTCCTTGGCTATGCCCCTAATTATGACAATGTACTTCTAATTGAGTTTGTGGTATTGTGAATTTGCTAATCATGGTTTCTTTTTATAATAGAATGGAATCTTTATGGTTAGTTTTGTGAATTTCTTGTGTAGGCATGTACTTTTGTTTTTATATTTAATATGAATGAATGTTTTTAACTTTTTGAAATTAGGTAAATGGAATACACCGACCATACGAAGCATGGGTAGCTACATTAGTTATGACTCTTCGGTTTTTTTTATACATATCCAAGAAATCAAAATATTACAACTACACTTAATCCTTCTTAAACCTTATAAGATGTGCATTGAATCTTTAACTATCGGATAGAGTTGAGATCATCTTTGTGGGATAATATGAACATTTTTCTATGAACAGTACAAATTGGTTGAGAAAAATCACCACTTGCAATAAAAAAATGATTGCTATTTCGTACAATTAACATATGAAGTTGACACTATCCTGAACGATTTTCACATGAATTACAAATAAAAAGAAAAATAACAAAAAAAGAAACTCATATGTCCACGTGTCGGCATTTAATTAGCAAAAGAAGGATTGGAATTATCTGAACTATATTATTTGTGTTCGTATAGTATCGTAGATATTCAGTATCGATCCAATTTGAGAATCATCTGATCGGAACCTCCTAAAACCCTAGAATTTCTTCGAATATCATCTCCACAAAAAAAAAATCATGAGTGAACCAGGGAAGGATTACTATCAAGATCAGCAACAACCCCCTTATGAATATGGAACTTTCCAAGGCGTTCAAAACTATCCTCCTCCGCCGCCTGTCATCGGTTTTCCGCAGCCAATTCCACCTCCCGGCGTCTCCGGTGGTCCTTCTGTCAACCACTACGTCCATGGTTACCAGGCCTTTCCAGGTATCATAACTGGATCTCTTCGGATCAAATAGGCGAAATAGTGTTTATGTTGAGAATTGAGATTGATCAACTTAATAATGATCTTAAAATCGATCTGTTTCACAGTAATTTCTCCAAATTAGTTTGATACATGATAGAATCAACAACAGAACATGCGAAACTGTCAATGTGGAATGATCTTACGATCAGACTGTTAAATTCGACGAATTGCACTACCCAATTTCTATGTTTTTTTATCAATTAGGGTTTATGTTGAATTTGTGCATTTATTATGGTGTTTTCCAGGTTATGCAGTTGCTGAGGGAAGACCTGTAAGGCAGAGGCGCCTTCCATGCTGTGGTATTGGCATAGCGTGGTTATTGTAAGCTTTAATCCTGTTAAATTCAAACAAATCAAATGATCTTGGAGTTGATTTTAAGTTAACTTTTTATATATATATCAGTTTGATCTGATTTTGGGTTTTTGATTTTGAAGGTTCATTATTGGTTTCTTCATGGCTGCAATCCCCTGGTATATTGGAGCATTCATTCTAATGTGTGCCAGATATGATCATCGTGAGAAACCTGGATATATTGCATGCTTAATTGCTGTAAGATCTTCATTCTTCCCCTTCACTCATATTTTTGTCAAATCCCATTAGGTGTTTCTTCACAATCTTTACAATAGATCCAAGATTGCTAAATCTAACACCCACAATATTATTATTTTTTTAATATTTTCATTTGGTTTGTGTTTTGTTGTGTTTTCAGGCTATTATTGTGACAATTGGTGTGATTTTTGGTGTAACAAGTGATGATTATGACTGGGACTGGTGATCTATTTGAAGCAGTAAAGTCAGCTGTACAGACTTAATTAAAAGGATTGATGCATATATATGTGAAATCAATTCAAATTTCCTTCTCGTGATTCTTAGGATATGAAAAAGCATTAATGTCATGAAATTGTGGTTCACTTGTCTTTTTTAGGTTATTGGTGTATGTTATTTGTTATTAATGTATGGTGGTCGCCGTTTCTAGAACCTTTGTTTTAATGCTAAGTTCGACCTATATGTATATAATTATATATCTCTTATAATAAAAGGTATTTAATCAATGTTGTTCGAGATATATATCAATTTTTTTCTATGTTATTGTTATTGTTATTGTTATTGTTATTATTATTATTATTATTATTATTATTATTATTGTTAATTTAGAAGTAAAAGTCAATCTTTTGTTGGTAAACTAGTGTTATTAGCATATTTTAGTGTAATTTTAATTACTATCAAGATATAGACTGAGTTCGGTTTACTATCCGGAGTATGGGGTGCACACTCAAAAATGATAAATATGAACTTGTGAATACAGGGTCAGAACCCCTGGCGGTGGTCGGGCAGTGCCCCGAAACCTAAACAGATTTCGATGGTTAGGCAATGCCCCGAAACCTAAACAAATTTTTATAATAGGAAAGAGTCTGAAACTATATTTCCCGCCAAAACCAGTTATGACATCATGATAATGTAATAGTTTGGTATGTCTTATGAATACCATTGTAATCACCATTTTGGCGCCAGTTTTGGTGTATAACCACCTTCCTAACCAAACTTTTTGGCACCAGGAAGGAAGATAACAAACTTCGAATGGCCATTTTCCTTTTAGCCATTTTCCCTCTATAAAATGAAGATGGATATTTCATGTAAAGGTTACACTCTTAATATTCAAAAATTTGATTCTTAGCATTTTCTGTCTCTCTAAATAACACATCAAAGCAAAGGTATTATATGTTTCTTAATTCAAATTAGGCTTGTAATTCGAATTGTTCATGTTCTTGGATTATCTCACTTTTGAATTCGTATACCACAAGCAATAGGAATGAATTATAGGTTTCAGAAAGTGTTTGGAAACTCGATCCTAGAAATTATCCAATTGTTAATTGTTATTTTGATACCTTATATCTAACTTCTTTTTCATCTCATCAGCTCTGTTGCTATAACCAATTAAAGCAGCCCCTACATAACCTCTGTCGCCACAACCTAAGTTTTTTCATTGTATCTATATCCAATTTATGTATTGGTGTATTTGAGATTTTGTTGAAAGAAGTATCACAATGCATCGACCGAAATCCATCAAATGATTAACCCTTATTTTGTGGACTAGGTGCAAATTTAGTATGTAGCATATGTGACCTTACTGTATCGGTTTCAAAATATACAATATTTATAACGCTTATGATCAAGGTTCTAAAAAGCTCTTCATGGCTTCGCCATGACGTGTCATGGCTCCAAGGCTTGTATTTGACATCACGCTTTAACAAAATATCGCCTTAAGTCATACATATATAAAAATAAATAATAGTAGAAAATATACATCGAATTATTAATTGCATAAAAAATTGTCGTCTTAAGTCACACCTTACAAACGACATAGCTCGCTACAACTCATACAAGTTTGAGGTTTAATATTGCCGCCAATGTCACATCTAACATTAATTAGAACCTTGCTAATGATTGAGTTTTGTGTGTCTTTTATATGTTTAGTGACTCAACTCATTTTTTGTCGTGGTTGACTTACGAATATTCGAATATATCTCCCTCGTTTACCTTGGTCAAGCCAAATTAGTGATTATGTTATACATATAAAAGGCATTTAAATTGGTGTCCCCTGAATCGATAGCATCTTATTTATTCTGAAAATAATATTAAATTTTCTCAAGCCAACATACTATTAAGAATTTATTATTGCAATGACTTGGTTATTTCAACAAATATATTTGTTAATATTTTTACCATACATGTTTATTCTCGTAATATATATATATATATATATATAATATATATATATATATATATATATATATATATAAACTAAATTACTAAAATACTCGTTTGTAATCCTTTTCACAGTCGATATCCTTATTCACGACATGGTTATTAACAAATTTATTTTTTTCTGCCTCATATTATGCATAATCGATTATCAAAATTTGGTGATTGCATATGCATCGATTTCAAATATGATCATCCTACACAATATAACAATCGACAATCAATTTAGGAGATTTGTGTTTTTTCTCCTCTAAACTATCTTGTCATGAAATGAATGTGTAGTTGGTGGTTATGAATTTGGGATTTGTAACTCCAAAGAGGTGAGTTCAATCAACCTTAACTTCTTTATCGATCGACATCTTGGAAGTAGCTATCAATGTAGACATGGATTTTGGTTGATGAATACGTTTGGATTGATGACATTTCCAAGTCATATATTGAATTTGGGACCCAAATTATGTTCAATTGATTGATATTATTGGGTAAGTTTGATATGATCCGGTGAGAAGCCACAACAAAAGTAGTCTTCATGTTTGCAAGGTTTTAGGAGGAAGACTTGGCATTTTCCTCATGTTTTAATAAGGGGAGCTAGTACTCTTGATTAGGAGTCCATGATTAGTTTGCATGCATGTTTCCTATTTTCTAGAGTAGTGATAGTTTGCATATTTATTTCCATGTTGATGTTCATTTGAGGGTATGAATTAAAAACGTAAAATTGTTCAATTAGTCTTCTTCATCTCATGTTATTAGGAGATTAGTCATCTCAAATTAAGCTCTATCGGAGTTCATGATGGAGATATCTACCATAACTTTGTTATCGATCGACTACAACGAGATTTCTATTGATATGTTTCAAAAATTTTGGGAGAAAGGTAATATTGAAATGTTACAAGTTCATTAGTTTTTAATAATATAAAATCAATTTAAAGATAGTGTTATTATGATTAAATTAAGTATTTAAGTATATATATGAGAGTTTATAGGTTTTATAAAGATATATTTAAAGTTTAAAGTGTTATAATCTATATATATATATATAAGATATATATATATATATATATATATATATATATAATATATATGAGAATGTGAATATAGCCTTAAAGGTATATACGTTTGGGCACCCAAACCCACCATAGTACGTCGTTTTGCTTGATATATTCATTATAATGTTCTTAAACTTCAACCCCTAACTTGATTTACTTTCAAGATTTTTGAAATTTCACTATTATTTTCCTCTTACATCACATCTTTTTGCTAAACATCTACTAGGCAATATATATATATATATATATATATATATATATATATATATATACTATATAGGAGTAGGATCAAATGAGAACACCTAAAAGGTTGAGAACGCGAGAACAAATCTCATCCATTTATTATTTTAGATCTAAGGCTATAATTAATTAGAAATTTTGTTATTATTAAAATGTTTAAATTCAATTAATTTGAATTAAAAATAAGAAAATGGTACCATGGTAATTAATCATCCCCCTATTTTAAACAGCTCCTAAAATCTCTCAATCTGTCTCTGTATAAACCTACGACTTCATCAATCACTCCACCATTTTCGACTTCATCTTTCTCTCTATTCCTAGGGCACGCCTCCCTCATCTGTACATCAGTATCAACCGCTACGTCTAAATCAAACCCTCTTGGTGGTTATTCTTGGTAGCGAATGAAGAAGAAGAAAGGGAAAGAAGGAGGGCTCGGTGGTGGTAATTTGATCGGAAAGAGGAGGGGAAAAAAGACCACCGGTTCTCAGTTTGATTAAAGAAAGGAGAAAGATGGAAGCAACAGAGGGGGTAGCGAGGGGATCATCAAGCAGCTTCCTAACTGCTTCGCTTCTGCTCCGGGAATTCAATACGAAGGGAAAGGAGGAGGCTGCTCCGAGGTGAGGGGAAAAAGCCAAGAGGCTGCTGCCTCTTTTGAATTCGCCGGAAACACAACCCCATCCTGGTGGTTATTCTGGCAGGGAACGAAGAAAAAGAATGAGAAAGAAGGAGCAGAAATCAGTTCATCAATTTCAGCAGCAAAAAGTGGGTTTAATGGAGGTTTTTTGAGTCTTGATTTACTCGAAATTCAACAACTAACAATGACTAGAAAGGTAATGTTTTTGTAGTTGTTCTTGATCTTTGATTTCAGCAGCAAATTAAGCATTAAAAGGGTGCTTTTGGTGTGGTAATACTTGACAAAAAGGAATGAAAAAAGGGATGAATCGAGGGCTGAAACCGAGAGGTCAACAACTCTTTTCTTATATTCATGTGTGATCTTTTTTATTACTTCAGGGTTTAATTTGCCTTGAGGCGTTTTTTTCTAACTGGTTGAGTTATTCTTCTGATTCCTCTCATCTCATTTGTGACACTCTCTAAGTCAAGAATGGGTTTTGTCATGTGCCTCTCGTGGGATCGGCAGTTATGGTATTTATTTATGATTAGAGCGGTATTCATTATGATTAGAAGTGTATTCATTTGTGATTAATGATATATATTCATTTATGAATATAATTACAATTATAGGATTTCATATGTATTTTATATTTTGTTCATGTCTCTTCATATATAATTTGACGTCATATGTGTTTTTCTAAATCTTTTTCATTTAGTTGATTGTTAATTGTATTTATTTCTTTATTTGACAGTGTGTAGAGGAAATCGATATGCTTCTACAAACAATGTTGGAGCGCTAATTTACAACCAAACAATACAAAGTAGAAAAGATCTTGCCTTATTCATTTATGATTATATATTAATAATAATTAATTATTTTTATTATAATTTTTGTTTATGTTGTATTCAAATGTGATTATAGAAAAATAGATATGTCTTACATTGTAACTTTTTGTGTTATTATTTATGAATAGATGTGTAATCTAGTTAAAGTATCCATATGTTTTATTTTATTTATAATTATAGTTGTATTGTAATTTTTCTCTATAAATTGTGTTATATTTGTTTATTATTATAACTTAATTCATCTATTCATTCACGATTACAACGGATTCATATATGACTATAAATATGTTTTTATTTTTGTATGATTACACATATTTGGTTGAAATGATTAATTCATCAATCTTTTTGATATACTGGTAAAAAAAACATTTTCTAATTATGGAAAAAACATTTTTTTAATAATCTGATTGATTAAAAATCAGATTGAATTTATTTCTAGTATTTAAGTAAAAAAATCAATTAATTAGATAACATCTCATGATTGTAGGAATTAATTA